TTTGCAAATATTTTCAGAATATACTATTTACATAACATAAACTACAAAAACTTTAATTTTATTTACTCTAATAAAAATCTCAATAACTGTAATATAATTATGATATTTCTATAAATTAATTATGTTTGCCTAAATACATTAAAAAAAAACATATATTTCTTTATATCTTTTTTCTAAATTCTAACCGACTTTTACAGTTTTATCAAGAAAATAATTGATGAAAATTTTAATCAAAACTAACTCTATTACCCGATCTCTAAATCAAACAATAAACTAAGATTTATAGTTTTTAAAATTATTCAATCTTGTCTTACGAATATGTATCAACTTGTTATTAGTTTTCGAAGTAGATAGACCGCTTAATTACACGTATCACTAATTAAGTCGTATATATTAACTATATATCTTAATTAAATGACGCGATTAATTAACGGTGTTTGAACTACGATAATAGTTTAACGAGTTTCGTGTATATTTGGTTGCCTATTTTAGACGCTTAAATTGTTTCATTGTGACCTGTAAACTTATAGTTAAATGTAACGAATTGCTCCAAAAATAAACAACTACTTAGTCATAATAATATTATTGAAATATTGTTAATATGTTATTGTTTCACGTATTTGTATTTTCCAAATATATCTGTAGATTCGTGAGCTATTAACGGACGCTTTAATTGGATGTTGTTGTAGGTAGGGCTATTATTGATAATCTAAATTATCGTTTAATGAGTTTCCTGTACACAGTGCTTGTATTTTTATTTCTTCTTAAAATTGCTTAATTGTGATCTGTAAATTTACTAAGTTTATGTGCGATTTGTGAATTCGTTTATTTAAAAAGTTTCATGTATTTTTTTTTAACTAGTGGAGGAAACCAGTTTCGTGGACATTTTTTCCAAACATATATACTTTTTTTGTTGGTGGAGATCGGAGGGCCGACAATTAACAGGCGCGTTAATTAGATGGTGGTGCAGAGATACGGTGGAAATTTATAGACGAAAACCGGAAAAGATGAAGGCATCCTTTCCATGTGAAATCGGGCAGGCAAGGGGGCTGCCTTTCGTGGTTTAGGATCGGATCATTGGAATAATGAAGGAATGTACGAAATGCACAAGGCAACGCATCTCTGGCGATGATGTTGCAGCAGCAGCAGTGAAGGGGGTTTGCGGAGAAGGGAGCTAATGATTTCGGTGGTGTTGGGGGGATGAAAAGGGAAAAGGGAAGGAGTGTGTGTGCTGCATGCGTGGCATCATCATCACAGCGACTGGCGATGATGATGATGATGATGATCATCTATCGGCTGGCTCCTCCGATCCGTCCCCCACCTTACGCAATGCGTGACCTCCAAAGAACCTCTAGAGTTAGGTCATTGAATTTGGGCCCTTGTCCTTCGCTGCTCTCCGCACGCACGGCTCAGCAGAGTCGCGGCGCGGCGTTGTATGTTGTTGCATTCGGCAGTGCAATGGCCTCCTAACCCTAACTAACGCCAATGCCATCCGCCATTATATTCGGCTTGTTTATACCAGTTTCCTGCTGCAGACGTGATCGTGCGTCTGCATCGAACCCTCCTCTTCCTCCTCCTCCTCCTCCTTCACCTTCTCATCCTATGCTTCTTCTAATACCCACTTCTTCTTTTTCTACCACTTTTATAATAGAAATTCGAACTTCACGCAACCATCTTAAGAATAAGAACCTATTAGCAAATGTCTTCCCAGCACTAACCAGATCTCAAATATAAAATTATCTTAATTGCAATTCTTAATATTTACCAAAATCTATTTAATAGTACAGTAATTAAGGAATTAGGACACATTTGCATCTGTATTTTATAATTTAATATATCTGCATTACATCCAATTAAAATATATTATTAAATACATTTCGTTGTTCACTTTACTTAAGAAACTAATTTTGCTCCAATTTGATTTCAATTAAAATTGAATTTTTATTTTCAAAAATTTTACGAAGCGAATGTACGTAAAATGCACAGACTATTCACAATTTAGGTATGAAATAAAAATAAATCAATAAATTTTCGATAAATACCAAATATTTATTAATTATCATAGAAAAAAATGTTAAAATTTGAATGAAATTTTGCAATTTAAGATTTGAAACGAGTTGAACTTACGACGTACGAAAGTAATTTAAACGTAAGCTATCTTAACCTAACCTAATTGAAGAGTTACTCCTGATCTAAATTAAAATTTAAAAAAAATTACCTTAAAACCATGAGTGATATAAGTCGATTTAAAATTATGTAAAATTATGATCATTTCTTCTGTATTTAGTTGTGAAACGCAATGCAAAATTTAATGAAAACGCTCGTATTTCGAGGAGCGTCACGATCCGTGAGTTACATATTAAAATGGGATTGCTGTTCAAATCCGTCTAGACGGAATAATTAATCTAATTTGTATAATTAATGAGAAGCGAAGAAGTGGAAATGTAAAGAGTAGTTAGTAGGAGGAAGAAGTAGGTGATACGAGAATCGTTTCGTTTTTCTTTGGGTTGGCATCCTTTGATTTTTATTAACGCAGATAACGAGGACCTGTCTCGAGGTCCGAAAAGAAAGAAAAAAAAAACAAAGAGATAAAATAATGCATCCATTAAGAGGAAGAGAGAAAAGCGAAGTACTAAATGGACGATCTCCTTCGTTTTGATGGTGTGTTGATGTTGTGTATTCCTTTTAACGAACTAATAATTTGGGCGCCGGGAGAAAGGGCGCAAAAAAAAACAAAACAATATATATATATATAAAATGCGAACCCTTCTCCATCTCGTCCAACCCCATTAACCGCAATGTGTTATATATATATATATACAGCGAGAAATGCCCTCAGGTACCGTTACGCAATTTTCCAGACATCGGGGGAGATCCGTTCCCATGCCCCTTTTATTTTACAGTTACGAAATTAGGAGGCGCAGGCGAAAATAAGGGTTGCGATAAGATGTTTGTTGTTTCTTTCTTTTCTTTTCTTTCTTTTTTTTTTAATTTCTTCTTTGAAATTGGTCGATTTCGCCGTACAAAAACTAAACGTTGATTGAACTTCATTACGGTTTGGTTTAATGTTGACGTGACCTTCAATGTGAAGAGGCAAATTGGTTGATGCAGCAGCAGCAGCGACTGATCTTTTTCCCCTCTGCTGCTGCTGTTGCTACTTCTTCTAGTTTGTTCGATAAACAAGACCGAGAGTTGATAAATAAACGCGTCCTCCCGGATGCGGCAAGGTTATGTAACGCGCTCCGCGCAGACGACTTGCCAAGTGAACGAGAAGAGGAGAGATAGAGAAGCGTTTATTCTTCTTTTGCTCGTTGGCGATGATGATGATGACGATGACCCTGAAACGTACCTTCTTCGGTCCTTCTTCACCAAAACGCACCGTCCACATAATAAAAAGTAATATAAAAACCGGCCTCCGAAGAGCAGATACGAATTACGACGTAACGCTTTCGAGGAATTGCCAAAGGGGGAGAAGATGCATTTTTCTGGTGACAATAAAAAACGAATATCGCCGTCGGTCCCACGCAATAAACTTCTGGTTGCGTGCCCTTTTTTCGATCCATCCATCCATCCATCTATACACATGCGGGGTCTTCGGATTTCATGCCTTTTCCTCCCATCATCCCGCCGTATCAAGGTCAGGGGTGGCTGGTTCAGAGAACGAAACAATTGAATAATATGAGAGAGAGAGAGAACAAGAATGATGTGTTGCGTATTGCGCGTGGAGTGATGGATATGGGCGCATTATGCGTCTTAATTGTTGCGCCCGTATGGAGCGGCCTCCGCATTAATTGGCGGCGGTCATTAAGTAAATTGGTTGATGGGGGGAGGACGATTTGCATCCTCCGGGTCGCTCCACCGAAAGAGAGTAAACCGGAAGAGCGCTGTTATGCAAAGAAGAATGAATATTATGATTATTCTGTTTTTTTTTGTTTGGTTCGTTGATGTGGGAATTACCAGAAGAAGTCCACCGAGAGTTCGGGTTTGACCATGGTCGAACGGATTCTGTTGCCCTATCCACGTCGAAATGTTCACGGTTCACGGTCCACGAACGGACGAAATCCACAGAAACCGCTCCCAAAAAATGACTAGAAAATGACTCTTTTTAACTTCAATTGGATTTCCTTCTTCTTTTGTCAAACATTCACTTAATTGCAGTACTCTTATTCCAAATAATTTAAAATTTCAACTATATAATATCCAATCATTGATATATAAAGAGAAAAGTTGAGAATATTTCAATATATCTTGTGTATGAAACACGACTAATCAAAGTTGATTTGAACGTTCATTGGACCACGTAAAAATAGGAGTTTCGAATACTAAATGAAAGAGACATAAAAAATTATTTGCAGCTGCGAATCGTATCGCCGAACGCTCGACGAGGGATCGACAAAAAGCGGCTTTTTTTTGCGTTCTCAACGAATTTTATTGGTTCTATCGTTCGGGTCAACCCACAAACAAATGTTTTTTTTTATTTAAATCTAAACCAATCAAAAAAAATATGCCGGTTCGTTTCAAATCTATTGAATCTTATTTATTTTAAGATTTCATTTACTTAATCTTTCCATTATTACATTTTCGTTAATAGAAAATCAACTGAAATATTTTACGTAATTTTGATTTGTAAATCTATGGGTGCAAATGGATTGGATTGGTCCTGGAGGGTGAAAAGCACCCCGGAAGCTTTGACGCACAAAATCCGGAACGTCGGTGGTGGTGGTGCAACAGGTGCCGAACAAAGAAAGACCCCCCCAGGCCCAACAAAGAACCACACAAACACACCTCACTGACACACTTACCGATTGATTCCATCCTCTCTACGCATCTTTGCATTCGTCGCTCAATAAACTCTTTAAAAATTTGTTAAAAAAGAATTGATAAAATCACTGTTTGATAACTTTTGCTCACAAATCATATCTTATAATTTGATACAAATCTTTGATTATTCATTTTGTTAAATCATTTTTCACTTCTTTTTCTTGATTT